ATAGGCCATTCCCGAGAGTCATGAGCGCCGAACCAAAGAAGATGGGAATAATGTAGTTACCAGTCTTCCGGGTGAACAGCCCCCCGAGCATTGTCATGACCGTGAGCGGAATGAGTAGAGGAAACAGCGTAATTCCAGCGATGATCGGTTTGAAACCAAGGACAACTTGGAAGTACAGCGGGAGGAAATAGTCGTATGCAATGAAAACGAAGCTGTGGATGCAAGCAAGGGTGAAAGAGGCAATGTTGGTGACCTTTCGGAAGATTCGGAATGGAATAACGGGATTCTTCGCGAAGCGAGCCTCCCATATGATGAAGAGCGCGAGAATGAGGACCCCGAACAGGATGAGGCAGATGACCAAAGCAGAGTTCCAGGGTACGATGCCACCAGCACCTGTTTCGAGGCCGTAGAGGAAGCAGATTGTGCCACCTATGATGAGAAGGAACCCAATCCAATCGAGGTCCCGAAGACCGGTAATTAATGGCTCTTTGGGGGTTTCAACCTTGAGGGTGAAGAATAACACCACCAGGGCGACGCCGTCGAACGGCAAGTTGATGAAGACTATCAAATGTCAGTTCCATGCCGCTCCGTATTGGATTTGGGGGTTCCTTCTCACAACACCATCTCCATCCAATCGTCTGTGTAAAGACACCTCCAAGTACAGGGCCGACCGCACTCGCAATCCCGTAGACGATGCCAGTCATGCCATAGTACTTGGCCCGATCCTCCAACTTGAAAATATCGCCAATCACAATCGTGATTAGAACCAACGATCCACCTCCCCCGAGCCCCTGTACAGTCCTCCCAGCGATGAGAGCTTGAATGTTCCCAGCCAAGGCCGCGATCAGGCTTCCCGCCATGAATGTTGCTGCCGCAGTCATAATTGTGAGCTTCCGGCCGAATATGTCGGACATCTTAGCCCAGACCGGTGTGGATGCCGTGCTGGACAAGGTGTACGCGCTTCCCACCCACGCGTACTCCGATGCCGTGGCCTGAAGAGTTGCTGCGATGGTGGGTAAGGCCGTGGCGATGATGGTGATGTCCAGGGCGCTAAGTAGAAGAGTCAGGCAGAGGGCACACATGACGGCGCGGCGACGGATCGGGCTCATTTCAGGAGGAACATAAGATGCGGCTGTGATCACGCGATCCAGAGCACTCTGGGTGTTTCCATACTGCTCTGAGTTCGTCTCTTGGGGCTTTTCGGCCGATGTTGCTGCAGGTGAATCACCCATGATAATCCTGCTTTTGTCTCAGGAATCGAATAGAATGAAACGATGCAGAGTGTCCATGGAACACACGATGACATTGCTGTTGGTATAATCATTGGCAAGCAGTTCCTTCGAGGATTCTTTTCGTTCCTTGCGATCACCATGTGGCTCGGTTCGGTTCGGTTCGGGGATCTGGAGTAATGCAGGTCGACGGGGTCAGACTAAACGATCACTTGCAGCCAATTGGCCGATCTTTGCATATCAAGTCTCTGGAATTCGCTTTTGATTCATTACTCAGGTTCATTTCATGTCTTTGAGCCCCAGACTGAAATGCGACAAGACTTTCCTCCACCCACCCAACCAAGTCGAATATGCTTGAATATCTCGCTCGGCCGGAACAGTCGCCGAGTCCGGTGTTTCCTACCACTCGATGATCTAGTACGCTACATCGGTATACCAATCAGTCAATGGTTTCCACATGCCCCTTGAGTTCCTTTTGGATCCAACCGTAAATGCTCTCCTGAAGTTCGCGGTCCTGGCTGAGCTTCGAACCAGATTCCGCCTTAGCAGTAGGACCGTAGTATTGCCCGCTCTTGGCGTCAGGGCTCACAGCTGCCCAGATCTGCGATAAGGCACCCTTCTTCACAGGCGTGGCGAAGAAGATGGCTGCATACAGGAAAGGTTTGAGAAACATGCCGGTGGAAGCATGGTGAAGATTGGTCGCAACCATCCCCGGATGGACAGGAACGATCTTGACTTGTTTCTCTCGCTTTGCCAAAGCCTTGGCGTAATGGAGGTCAGCAAGCTTCGACATGGTGTATCGTTGGGTAGTAGGTCGGTTAGGCATTGTTGTTCGGATTTCTTCGAACTTGTAGATATCGTTCGGGGCTAGTGCGTGAGCACTCGAAGACAGCATGACGACACGCGTCTCGGGGTTCGTCTTGGCCGTTTCTCGTATGACCGGTAGCAGAAGCTGGGTAAACAGCGCTGGCCCCATCACGTTGGTTCCGAACTGGATCTCATACCGTTCCTTGGTAAGGCCCTCGGGGGTCATCATGATGCCAGCGTTGTTGACGAGTATGTCCAATCTAGATTCTTTCTTGAGGAATTCGACTGCGGCAGCCTTGACGCTGTTAAAAGATGCTAGATCAAGTTCGAGGAAGATGATGTTTGTTGTTTTGGGGTTCTGTTGTTGGAGTTCTTGGATAGCCTTTTCAGCTTTGTCTCGGGACCTGGCTGCAAGGTAAATTCGGGCTGGGTTGTGTTTGCTGAGCTGCCGTATCGTCTCGAAGCCAAGACCGACGTTTCCTCCAGTAACAATAATCACCTGATCGCGAAGATCAGGGATGTTATCGGCAGTGAAGGATGGCATCTTGGGACGGAGTGTGCAAATGGCTCGACCATGGGGTTTGAACCGTGGCAGGTAGAGTGACTTTCTGATATTAGCAAACGTCAAGATGTTAACAAAAAGGGAAGAGGCGATTTAATACATTGGTCAGAAGTGAGCTTGAATGTGAAGAACGGAGGTCCGATGGGCGGCTGAAGGTGCCGCGCGGGAACTTCGACGAGCCCGAGGGTACAATGCTTGATAAGCCAGTCCAACGAGCCGATCTGGGGCGTAAGCAAGTCATTGAAAGAGGAAGATTCGAACCAAGGAGGACAAGAGAACGGAGCTGGCTGGGATTTTCTTCGGGGACTCCCAGTCTCGGCGGCTCTCGATTGTCAGCCATAAATTCTATCAGAGGCTCCGGCATTCTCAATGAGCCAACTCGCGACTTCCTCGTTGCTTACACCCTTGTCGGGTAGGTCCGGCCTGGACTCTGAATTTGGTAACGCACCTTCCCTTCAATGGGAGAAAGTACCTAGATACCTGTACCGGGCCGTCATGGAAGGACGGGAGGTACGTAGCCGGGAGCTCGGCGTTTGTGTGGGCCGGGACAACGTCCCCGTATCACTCCTTAGATCTCGGTGACGTCCCGACGGTTCCCTGGGCATCTCGCAGCGGATGCTGTCAGCTCGAAACTCACGGAGTCATCCTCGGGGTGTCAATCCTGAGGCTTAGACAAGCATCTACGGACAGTAATATCTTATCCAGAACGACTCGATCTTCATGGTGATTCGACTCCTATCATTACGCGGTGCATAAATACCCCGTGCTGTAGTGGAGCGCGCTGTATGGTTGTCTCTAACAATCATGCGATCCTCGCTTGATGTTTGGGCATCAACTGACGACAGACTCGCTATTTCGGGGTTGCGTCAGACGCGTAGAGTTACCTATGGCTTGTGGGCTTTCGATGGCTGGCGGGGTTTCTGTCGAGGAAATCACCACAGGTTATTGTACGAGGTCGCCAGTTCGTAGTGCCCGGCGATCGACAGTATTGTCAAATGTGGCGGCGAACCCCCGTTCCGTTGCATCCAGCTCGCGGTGGATGACTCGTGAGTTCTTTGGCTTTAAACAGAACATCCGCAGTAAAGGCTCAAAGGAGTCTTTCCGGTTGGTCGTCGACCGAACAAACCAACCTCGAACCAGCCTAGAACAAGTCTGAAGATTCCTTTTTTACCCCCAACACTCAAGATGGGCGAATGGCAAGCTGCCCATGCAAGCCCCATCGACAGGGGAGTAAGCAATCTATTTCTGCGACACAGCACGTCCCACTGGACCTTTGAGCGTAGTAGGTTCATCCCAGCCAACAAGGGAGTAAGCAACCTATTAATCCCCCATAGGAACACAATTCTGAAAGAACATCGCCCACAGCATGCTCGATAATCAACGCGCAAAGATATCGAAAACATCATTTTCGAGATGGAGCCGAAAGAAGTAGATGCACTAGACGATGAAGACGATTGGACGGGCGTTGCGAGCGCCGCCGAAAGACGAAGACGGCAGAACAGGGTTCACCAAAGAGCCTACCGTAGGTCCATTCCACAACCCCGCTGTCAACCATGCTATCCCGTTAGCGAAGAAGGCTGATATTGTAATCCAACCAGGGCAGAAGAGACACCTGAAGCGTATTGCACTCAACAGTACTACAGCTTCAGCTTCAGCAGAGCCTCAAGCCGAGATGTGCCTGATCCTCGCTGCTGCGCCTAATGCGCGTAGACCCATGACTTCGTCCCAAATGCAAGAGATGCTTGGGATTTACTATTTGCTCAGATGCGCCGGCATACGCAAAAATGTCGCCGAATTCCTGCAGAGAGCCTCTCTGAACTGGACCCTACAGCTCCCTACCCCGCGGGACCTTCCCGCTCTCACGAGACTCAACGCGTTCGACGCGCTAGCAAGAAATGCGCTGGTGTTAGGCATCCCGGTAGAATTGATCGAGAGCGACGATGGCGACTCTCTCTTCATACATCAAGGCCCCGAGCGGCCCGGATCCAGCGAGGTCCTGCCGCCTCATCTCTCACCAACGGCACTACAGAGGACTGTCAAGCATCATCCATGGCTGGACCTATTCCCAATACCGAAGATGAGGGATAACATTCTTCGTGGTATTCAGTCGGGCGAGATAGACGAAGATGAGCTGTGCAACGCTTTAGTTTGCGACCTCTTGGACTTGGACTCCCCCTCCAAATCATCGCTTGTCATATGGGGAGACGCCTGGGACTTGAATGGTTGGGAGCTGGGTCCTGAATTCTTCAGGAGATGGGGCGGGCTAGTGCAGGGCTGCCCCGAAGTGCTGACAGCTACCAACTACTGGCGACAAAAAAGAGGTGTAGGGAAAATAAGAGAGATCAACTCGGGCGGCTCGCTGGCATTAGATATCACATGGTGATTGAAAGTTGTGTTTTCGGCTATTTCAGTTGCAACTCCCAAGTCTCTCCCACTCGCTTCTCTCCCCAGGCTTGATGTTCTTCGGTGGCTTTCAACTCGAACCCGGACTTTGCATACAATCGCCGCGCCCCGATCAAGTGGTTATCAGTTGATAAACCAACGCTCTCGAATCCAACCTCCCTTGCAAACTCAACACAAAGTCGTATCAACTCCGTTCCCAAGCCGGAGCCTCTTGCTTCCTTTTCTACAAGGAAGCATCTCAACTTCGCTCTGCCTGGTATTTCGCGGTCCTCGATGAGCATGATGGAGCCCAAAAACTTGTCGTCTCTCTCTGCGATCCAGCATCGTTCTTTGGCTGGGTTGAACTTGAGGAGGAAGTCTGCCGTGATTTGGCTGACCATGGCCTCGAATAGCGCGCCGTAGTTGTATTCTTTGGAGTAGATTGCGCCGTGTCGGTGGGTGATGTAGCCCATGTCACCCGGGCGGTGGTTCCGGAATGTGATGGAATTGAGAGCATTGGAGCCGTTGGTTAACGCCATCTTAGCGAATCGACGATGTGCTGCAGACTGGACGAGTACTTGCCCCTTGAGTTCTCAAAGACAATGCAGCGACTGGGAGACTGCAATAGCTAATGATTTGATTGCGAAACTTTGAACCGTCGCCAATTGGATTCTCTTATCACTTGTGGGAGGGGGCCTCTCTTGATCAGCGGTGAGCTTGTTCCTGGCCTCGGGCCTCTGGTGGGGAATGTCAAAGTCATGTCATCCAAGGGCGCACTGTACTTAAGCGCCACGCTGCATGTCATGTTTAGTGTCACTGGCAGACACCAGTGACCTCAGAGAGTCAGCTTGGAGGCTTCTAGAGGCTTCTGAATTGGCCCGCGCTCAGCAAAGATACCACTGGCTCATAAGATTTCAGTAGTGTCAAGCTATCATCAGAACTTGGGAATCGTAATGCAATCCTCTGACAGGAGAACCTAGAACTCGAAGCTCAGATACAGTCACTTGACCGTATATCGAAAGGATTCTGGAAAGGGCACGACTCAGAGCAGTGTGACTAGTCAAGTCTGGTTCTTCGCAGCAAATGACTTACATTCAAGAAACGGGTGAAAGTTCTATAATGCAGCTTTTGTCACTCTCAAATTTAAGAAACCATACTGGAGTTGCTGTACAAGGATGGCCCGACAAGCCCGACTACTACGATGTCATCTCTAGATAGATAGGACTTCTTGATGGCTGGCGTAACACGCCGTTCAACTCCTCCGAACTGCTAACCCCCCTCCGCAAGACATCTCAGAACCTCAGTCAACTTCGCCAGGCTCACCCGCACGTATGGCATGTTAAATTTTATGATAGCCAGACGATGTTCTAGATTTAGATAAAGTCAGACTGCCAGCTCCCACGGCGATGCACCCAAATTGTCACCAAGCATTTCCCACCCCTCCAGTCCAACCATATCATGACACTGAAGGACACCAATAAACCAAACATAATGCACCCAAGAGCCGTAGATCCTTGGGATAACCAACAGACAAAATGCAGCCACCCTTCCTCATCAAACTTTGGTATGTCCATGACTCCACACGCCCATATCTGTGCTGCAAAGCGGTTTTTGTCGTATAATAATATCCCATCTGGAAACGGCAGAGAATTTGCGTAATCGAGATCGAAGTGCGAGGATTGTTCAAGACCGGCGAGCGTAAATTCCATGGACATCAATGCGAGAATGACGTTGGTGATTAGCATGAGAAACAGGCTGAATCGCGCCTATTGCATCATCTAAGATAAATTGTCAGCAGGCGTTGTCGGCGGTAGCTGCGACCATGATCCCCCTATTCCACACTCCTGGTTCCCAGATAAGCCTGAACAGAGAACTTCACGATTCCAGTCGAAGCTAGAATTTGCTGTCACTTGGTCCTACGAAGCTGAAACCTCTCGGAGATCCACTGCCCCATAGACATCACTGGTGTTGGTCTCAGTGCCGTGTTTTCACGACGCCATCGGAAACAGACCCCCCTCGCGAGCCGATTCGGCCAGCACAGATTCGCCGGGTTCCCGTATGGACACGTTCTCGTTGACTCAATGGATGAACAAGTATACGAGCGTTACCGAGCAGTCTACAAAAAGAGATCAATGGACGCGTTCAAAAACATCTGTTCTTTTTTTGAGCATGAAGAGCACGGACATCATATGCTGAATGCTGTGATTCGGCTCCATTACGAATGGGGAAACCTGGACATCGTCAAGCACCTACTTGAATCCAGCGGTGGACTGTCATCAACTAGGTTCAACTCTTATGGCATCAATTCTTCGGAGGACAATTGTCTCACCGGGGCTGCCTGTAGATGGCGGGAGGACGTCCTTGACTATTTGCTCGAGTCCGGCATGAACCCCAAAGGGGTCATGGGCGACATTCCCCCCCTTGCCGCGGCAATACGTGCTGGAAGTATTTTCATGGTACGGAAGCTTGTCAATCATGGCGCGAGTCCTCATGCTTGGCACGGAAGAAGCCTGTTTCAGTATGGCATATGTCTTAAACATACAGCAATACTTGAGTTCCTCCTAGATAGAGATGTATTATACAGCGACGGTAGAAAGAGTGGAAAGCGAAGGACGAGATGAATACATGTGCTACATAGTGGAGGTGTTCTTGTTGACACCTACGTTCAACCATTGTCAGATCAATCTATCATATTTTCCTTAGTTCGCAGCAAAAATGAACAACCAACCGGGTCTTGTTTCCAGCGGGCCATGGATGCTTGACACTGCAATCAACGCACAGGTCAAAGCTTGCATATAAAGGCCAGTATCATTGTTCCTCTTTGACTCCAAGCCAGCAAGACCTCTTCAACATTTTGCTGGTCTTTGGATTGGTAGCAATCCTTCGTGCAGAAGCAGATGCCTTTGGTGCTGAAAGATCCGGAGGGCGCTGATAAGTTGGGCATTGACATCAATGATGCTTTTCTGCTGCGGTAAAGAAAAGCTCGACAGTCTCCTGTTCTGCCATGTGAAGATTAGGGAGCTCAAGGCATGGAATTAGGAGGCTGTCACAGATTCGAACATGAACATCCAGAGTGCGTTTTATGATTATCACACAAGCATTCAGGTGAAATCACGTGTCTCAGGAGTATATCATCTGGGTATGGCCTCACCGAGCTGCCCTGGGCGCCTGAGGCGCAGACCTCTCGATGAGGTCTCCAGATCACCAAATCACGTGAAGAGGCATCAACATACACGCTCCTTCCTGCCTTCTAGATGAGAAGAATTTTAAGCGAGGCGCTAGTGAGGTTGTGTGCCTCACTGCTTCTTCGTTAGCCGCCCACACGACTTCTCCTCCTGTCAGCATCACGATCTCGACTTTCCCTTCCATCAACCTTCTCCCCCACAACAACCTCATCCAAACAAATCCACCCTGAGCGCACGTCGCCGCTAGATTCCCTTTTTCGCACCAGTCACGGCGTGGAGTTGATACCTTCTCCCTCACCTTCACTTGTTTTCCCCCTACAGGCTACATCTTACCCCTGATCGTACACCTCGATACAGCGGCCAAGATGGCGGCACACAGCCAGCTGTCTCTTCGATCCTGTGCTTCTCTAGTCTTCTGGACTGCACTGGCTCTTTTTCAGGTTCCCCTTGCTTTGTGTGGTTCTGTCCACATTCACGATGCTTCGCTACGAGCTGCCTTTGTCTCGCTGGTCTCGGAGCAGCAAAAGGAGCAAATGGTAGCCTCTGTTGCTCAGCTCGAGCAGCGATTCAACCACAAGTACCGCTACGACTGGGTATTCTTCAGCCATGAGGAGCTTAGCGAAGAGTTCAAGGACGCTACTTCCAACGCTACTGCCTCGACTGTCACTTATAACTTGATCCCCCAGCAGCATTGGACTATCCCGAGCTCTGTTGACCCCGGTCGCTTCGAGGCTGGTTTGGTGCGCACTTAGGGAGTGAACGCCGACAAGGCCCTCATCAAGACTGCCCATCACAGACGTCGCTGGTCTGCTGGACTCTTTGCCCGAGAGAAGCGTCTTCAAGCCTACGATTGGTTTTGGATGGTTGAACCTGGCGTAAGTAGGCATCGTTCTTTCTTCCCTTCCCTCCTTTGATTTGTCTTGGCTAACAAGGCTCTTGTTCTAGACCAAGTTCCTCTGTGATATTACAGTCGATGTCTTCCGTCTCATGCGAGACCGCGGAATTGCCTATGGAGTCAATAAGGTTTCTTTCGAGGGTGCCGCTAACTCTGAGCTCCTCTGGAAGAGTACCAAGTCCTTCATGGATACGCATCCCGACATGGTTCGACCCACTGCCGATATCACCTGGATTCTAGGCAACAGTGCCAAAGCCAACAAGCCTACTCGTTCATCAGACTACTACGTGGATGAGGCTGACGATATGGAGAGCTTCTACCTGAGCTTGGAGGACGAGAGCTGCAGGGCCATCGGACAGGGAACTGAGGGTGACATGCCCCCCGGTGTTTTCCTTAAAGCTGATCCTCAGCAGTGCGAGCCAAACACTGTTGCCGATGCCTTTACCACTCGGCTTGCTGCGAGCTACGACCAGTGTGACATGGACACCCCTATTGAGATTGGCAATCTCAACCACTTCCGCGGACCTGAGCACCGCTCCTACTTTGACTATCTCGACAATGCCGGCGAGTTTTACTACGGAAATACCAGCAACGTTCCTGTCCACTCTCTGAGTGCCAGCATGTTCCTCCCACGCGACAAGTTCTGGCTCCTCGGTGATATGGTTTGCGAGATGCATGGCCTCCACAGCTGCCCCCCGATGCCTCACCCGACCTACAACTCCAACCTGCAGACCGAGAATAGTCCCAACTACCTGGCCAATGTAGTAGAAGCTTCTTGGTTTGGCGCCTATAAGGACAACCAAGTCTTGCTCATCCACCTCGTCTGGGAGAGAATGGCGTCCGATATGGCCCGCCAGAGAGGTATTCCAGCAGCCCAGCTCGGACACACTGCCCTCGATGAGCGTAACTTCAAGCTCTACAAGCCCGAGAGATACCCAGTCGATGTCACGCTGACTTGGTACTCGCTGGAGGATAGCTGGCGTTCCTGGTCTTGCGATCGCCTCAAGTGGTTCCTTGGGGTGTTGGGATGGTGACCTTTTGACCTGGAATTCGGAATTAGCCCCTGGGGCTCGGGTGTGTATGGAGAGCCAAAGACGGCGCTTCCGAGCAGCAGGGCAAGGGGGTTCAGGCTTGGGATTTCACTTGTTTCGCGGTACAATTTAACCTACACAGCTTCTATCAGCACCAGGTAGCCATCCTCAAAGAATGACTGATGATTCACACCTAACATTTCGCCTGAACTGCCTAGAGTACCCACCTCACCTAGGTTCAGTGTATTGTAGACTAGTCCGATCAATACGACTGTGAACATGGTGCCAGGCAAGACTGTGAACTCACCACACGGGCGTGTTTTGAGAATCATCCATGGATACAGTAAACTCATCGAGCTAATCAAACTTCTACATTGAATGCTACGGCAAAGTCAAACACGTTGCCTCGTACCTCAATCTCGGCATCGCATAACAAACCCATTTTGCCGGTAACAATGTCAATCTTCCCCATAACCTTAGTGGTCGTGGTCGTCATTGCGATAAGGCCAATCTGAATAGGCTTCATCATCCATGCTATCACCCGCGTCCTCTTCCATCCGTCTCTCTCGCATCATGGAAGCCATGGCCCTACAAGCGACGCAATTGTCTACTGTCTCAATATAAGACGCCGGCCCTGCAACCGTATACTCGCTGATTTCCATGCTGACTAGTCTGTGGTACTCGTTGAAGTCCGCCGTGATGAGGAGCTGATGATCGCGAGGGCTGGAAAGGCCATGTTCATCGTCGAGTCTATACCATGCATGGCATGCCATGTGGCCTTGACCGTAGGTGCAAAGGAGTGGAACAAACTTCATACGGGGTTCAGCATTGTATTGGCTGGCGAAGTAGTCGTTGATTCCTTCTCTTCCTTCAAAGGTTGTTCCTTCGCAGCGTGGAAGATTGATGCTTGTCGTCAGAGTCGCGTCGTCGGTGAACCATTCCCAGCTGCTATGGAGACCTCCGGCGTTGATGTTGTCTATGAGGGGTTGTAGATGACTATGCAGTATTTCTTCGAGCCAATCTACGTTCTCGTCATTGCACCAGAAGTGGATGGCTTCTTGGACGGGGTCAATTTCGGGGGAACCATTCATGGTGAAGACCTGAAGTAATGTTTAGCAATGCAACAATGACCGCAAACTTTCTCTCCCTTGCAGCTTACGAAATCAATGGGGAGCCTCTGCCTGTATTCGGATAGATATCAGACAACGGAGAGACTCTGCGAGGTTGTGGGATGGTGGCAAAGAACCGCGAGCGCAGAGCGTAGATGGACGTCGTGTTGTTTTGGGTGGGGCGACAGAAGATCAGGAGAAATTATGGCAAGTGATGTTGACAGCCCCTTGGAGGCTCCCTCGCGTTCCCAGTGAGTAGGATAAGAAAGAGCGAGCTTGCCGGACATGCAGCTGGAGGATGTCGTTGAAGAAGTTGCGATGCCAAAACACCAGGAAGTCGTTCTTGAGAACGCTTGCCTGTCTGTGCAAAGCAGAGACCACTTGCCGTTGAGTGCCTTCTAACGATGATAAGAAATATTTTTTTTCTTCTATTTTTTGTCAATTCATGCTAATGATATATTCAAAAGGTAAGTTCCTCAATGTTTCCAATGACATATGATCGAGTTTGCGCCTTCCGAGTCCCGTCATTGCACCTTTGTTTCTTGTGACAGCTGACTGCACAATGCCTCTGCTATTACGCAGTTTCTTCGCTGACGCTTTCCAAGTGTAGATCAACTTTTCTGGCTCTTGTTGCCTCGACAAGCTGATTGAATGCACAGTCGAGCGCCACAATCTCTGAGTACCTAAACTCCACTCTCTTGATCATGACATTTTTGTCGAGGTATATCACAAAGGCTCCCCCGAACTTGCCGACGTGGAAGTCCCCTTTCATATCCTCCTCCGCTCTAAGCGCCTCTGTAGTCTTGCTCGCCTCCTTGGCCTTGTTCGCCCCCTTAGTCGTGCTTTCCCGTATCAACCCTTCCCAATAAGAGAAGATTTTGCCCTGTTCAACAAATGTTGAGATTGGGATATATCTGCTGGTTCTGACTTTATATGCAGTTGGACTGTCGCCTCCAAGTGCTTTGATTATGTTGCACTTTCCATGGACGACGTAGTCTCGGTAACTCTTTTCGTCGAGTGAAGGGTCGATCATGGTGCAGTCGTCGGCAAGCCATTCTAGGACACTTTTATCGACCGTCGCCAATCCGAGCATAAAATTTTCAGCTGCCTCTTCTAGCAAGCGGCGAACTTTCAAGTTGTTGTATTTGACCTCAGTGCCGTTCCCTTGCTCCTTGACTTCCTTGATGATGTCAAGGACAGGACGAATGGTTTCGTCAGAAGCAGCCACTACACACAATTTTCAGATGGGTATCGCATCACGAAGGTGTATCTTCCTTACTTTCTACAGATACGTGGGCGAGCTTTTCTAGTGGTCGATGCAATGAAGCGTGTGATAAGGTTGTGTTCTAGGCGAGTCTTGGTCGATTGAATTCTGAAGATGATGTTTGGTAGTCTTTTTTGTTGTCACGAAAATTCACTTGGCCATATTGGATAGTTCATATTGGCATTTAAGCATTATTTAAGAACATTTGATGTTGGGCCTCCTTGGTGGAGGATAGAACATGAGATACGATTACTTCCAGATTGGGAAAGCCGGGAGTCACGCCAAATAGGGTCGGTACATTGATGAACAGGACAACAAAGCGAGAACAAGGCCAAAGGCTGTGACGCCCGAGAGCGCAGATCATTTTGGCGGTAAAGTAATGAGTTGGGAGATGTGGCGGCGCAGGTAATCGGTAAAGGATGCAGCCCTCACAAACCTATATTATCGTGTCAGCGGGTGTCAGGAAAGATGCCGGGACTGAACAGACGACAGCTTGATATGTCGCACAAAGATTATGCTCCCTTCTTTGTATTATACCAGTCACTGTTCAGGTTTGCGCCCTTCCTATTCACGATTTCAAGATCAGGATCGAGATGATGGACCTTACATCACGAAGGTCGAAATTGAGGCACAGGCACTGTGTGGCGTCACGACCTCGTGTTACCACTTCCCTTCAGGACTGAACAGAAAAATGGCAACTTTGCTTTGAGGGTGTGCTCCTAGGCTTGTTGAGGGACGTTCAGAAGTCTGCTGACCATCAGGATGCCTCTGTCGGCCTCAGGTCTAGACCCCTTACAAGCTCAATCTTCTTCCTTCTGTCATTGTTCACAACCAGGACCCAAATCTATCTTCCTCGTACAACTACATGTGACCCGATTAGCTGTGGCATGGTTAGTTTCCTAATCACGGTGCGAATTTTGGTGATGTGTCCGCGGTCGGAGATGTGTGGTTTCGATGCAGATAGTGGTTCTGTTGAACTCGACAAACAGCCCCATCGCTACTTGCTTTAATACATGCCGATTTCTGCCTTGTCTGTCTGCGTACGGCATGACCATACACTCTCAACTCATCACTGATATAGCTTGATTTTTGGAGTATTCTCACACCATTTTAGGCCCAGATTTGGACAGGTAGCTCCGATAATATGGTGCCCTCGTGCGTTCATGCTAAAGGGGGGTCAACGGTGCGCTCGCGTATATAGCTCTCGATATCTCCGTACTTCTGCATTAACAAAGTGAAGGAGTGCTTGTGTTGCCCTCGCCAGACACTCGAGGTCGCCATGTATGGTGATCTCAGTGACTTTGATTTGATTTGGATCTGAGGTATTTATACAGGTGAGATTCTTGATTTCCGGCGACTTCAAGGGATGATTGTACGGGACTCAGAGGCAAACATCGAATGGTGCCATGATCCGGAAAATTGAAGAGCAGAAGCATGAGCTGTTTGGCCTTATGAGGAGGAGACAACACATCAACATCCATCTGCTGCCTAATACCTGGCTCGCTCTCGTACTTCCTTCGCGATCTATCTAATTGGTCGATACCAGTGTCCCTCGGGACTCACCTACACAAAATCCAAGCATCTCAGCTAGCCGGCAAATCTCGCGACCAGTGTCACTAGCCTGCCATGTCAAACCTGATCCGAATCTTTTTCAAGGACTGCAACAAGCGCGGATGGCCCAATTTCGGAGTGGCGTTTGCTCAGGTTGCGACTCTTAACATGAGACTCAATGTTTCGGGTCGAATCTAAAAGAATCGTGACGAGATCGTCAAATAACACAAGACCGACCTTTCCGACATGGCGTCCAAATACCGAGATTTGGAAGTCGCGCCCATACTCAATCTCTCCGGCCGCAGCCGCGTCACCTGCCATGTGCACGAAGTAGCAGATGGAGTTTTTCGAGCAGGCTGGGCCATCATCAGTGAGAAGAGTTTCATCCCCGATATCGACAACGCAACCCAAGTCCAAAAAGTGGAGTGTCGATCCATCGTAGGTGAAACCCATCTGTTTATCAGCGATAACTTCAAGTTTCTCATGAGGGATGATGCATACACTGAATCCACCAGCGAGCAATCCTATAAACCTAGGAAGGTGATGGAAGTCTTAGAGTCGAGGAAAGCATCTCACCTCGGGCGAGTGACACTATGTTTTGATGCAATAGGATGACGCATTGAAGACTTTGGCGAGTTCAGTGCAAGAGTTTGGTTCACGCGAATGAATCATGAATCGTCTCCCCACTCCTCCAACAGACCTGACACCAAGCTCGCTGTGAATGTGGAAAAAGGACGGCATTGTGAGTTTACTCTTATCAGTCCAGGTAGTCAGATTGCTGTAAATAACGAATGCCCACATTCTTGCTCGCAATGGCACGAAGATGTCACGAAATCAAAACTAGAAAGAAAGCGTGCTTGGAAGCCTTTGCTGTGATTTACCGATGTTTTAATGTGCCTATCTGTTATCCTCAAGGATTTCGTGTAAGCTATGAGGCATGGCGCCCTCTCTGTGGAGCCCCTAGACCTTCTCTAAAACCCGAAATTCTCCTTCATGACCACGACGTCCTTCTTAGACTCCTTTGCAGCGTGTCTCAATTCTTTGAGGCCGCCGCCTGTGGTGATGGTCTCTTGATCTGTGTCTCGGAACTCGATACGTCTGATGAGGCACTTCTCGTCCACATCAAAGATGCAGACCATGCGTGCTCGCTCGAACCCCGATGCAGCCTTGGCTGCAACCTCATTTTCGCAAACTGTCTCAATCCAGAAAGCCTCCAAATAGCAAGTAGCTCTGCCCCTATCGACGACTAGGAGCTTGAAGACAGTGCTTTGATATTCCTCTTGGTCATCCTGATAGTATTGGATGACCGAGTCCGCACCATTGTGAATAGCACCCGGGCTATCTAGACTCCATACGAGCTTGGCGTCCTCTCTCAGGTAACCCTTGGCCGCGTCCCAGTCTCCTCTATCGATCGCGTTGTAGAAGCTTCGAATTCTGGTGTCAATGACACTACGCATGGGGCGATCTGACACCTCGCCATTCACCTCGGCGGTGAAATGCTCAAGGTCATCTCGGTCAGTGGACATCATGACGTTCTTGCCGTAAATTTGAAGTTAGCATCTGTGTAGGAAGGTGCAGAGAATATGCACGGGTATACCTGAGATTCCTAAGTCAAGAGACTAGCCTGATTTTGAGTGGTTCGGAGGTGGCTTGGCCTGAAGGATAAGCGATGTTGAACGGCAGCGGTAGATAACTGTGTTTGCGCGGTGCCTCCAGCGATTCTCTCATGCCAAAGGAGATAAATAATTAGAGCAATGTTTCTAATACGGTAAGGCGAAGCTGGGCATCAAATGCCCTGAGTTGTGGTTGTGGTGTTGTGGCAACTTCCAGTGGGTGGAGGAGGGAGAAAGGGGAGATGGAGGGAGGGCTGGAAATTGTTCGACCTTTAATGGGGATTGAGATTGGCGGAGACCGGTAGAAGAAAGACGGAAGGTACAATTCTATTTCAAAGGGCAAGTACGTATCCAAGGCTTTTATTTTCTTCCCGCGTATTCGCGTGTACGAGGTCGTTCTATCGCAGGCAGCTGGATTCACGATTTTGACCCTAGCAAATGGGTAGGAGGACGTCGCATACTTGAGTCGCTTGCTTTCTCTAAGACTCAGTCACTCTCTGGAATCAAATTGGTTTGGAGAGCTAGGCCTCCCATTCGTACTCAAGGTGATATCAAAGCCTACCCTCCTTCCTGAGAACAAAAGCTGAATGACTGTCCGCATCCTTGCTGATAGCCAGCAGAGCCCATCATGTCCTCGAGCACTAGGATCTAGTCATCAAGCCCTGTAACGCTCTTGCAACTGCCAGCATTGTCACAATTTGGACCGACTTGCAACAATTATTGACAAGCTTCATTCTCTTCCCAGCCCTCGGCGCAGCAGCCCGAACCCCAAACAGTCTGCAGTGCGATCTGCCTTTTGACCCGTATTCTCCGTGTGTCATGTGAGCTGTGTACTCGAATTTCATTCTTTTTTGGAGGCAATAAAAAAAAAAAAGTCTCATGAGAATAAGAGAATATGGAAGCATGAGGGCAGTAGTAATAGGGAAAGAGGTCACCGATGGAATGACCGGCATAGCATTGTACCCCCACTTGAAGCCCGAAGGCCCCACAAAACTGCCCCCGCGACCGCGACGAGCAACGGAGCGAAGGGACCCCACCCGGAGCGAGCTTACCGAGAGAGGTATAGCAGGGAACCCGGCAGATGGTCTACCCCACCTCACCGGCCCAAACTTGCATTCCCTTCACAGACGGGGGGTGGGTGGCTCGCAAAGTCTCAGTCCGGGCGGGCATGACGTGAGGTGACGGACATTTGTTCGGAGGCGGGGGTTGAACTTCCCGCTCGATCCCCCTCTTCCGCATGCAGTCTCGAGCTCAACCCTCGTAGAGTTAGGTTTCGTACGGATCCGGGCACCACAGACCAAGGTGGGAGTTTCAAGTATCTTCCAACTACATCCTCTATTCATTCATTCATCTAGGCAGCGGGCTACGATGCCGAATCAGATATCTAAGCAGTGGTATAAGGACGAGTACCTCATCTCCACCGACCGGTCGCTAGTCGACCTCAACGCCGTGAACGATGCCTTTGATTCTGAGCTGCTGTGGTGGACGAAGCGCGTTCCGGAAGTAGCTCTGAAGAGGCTGATAGACAATTCGTTGTGTCTGGGGGTGTACAAACTCCCACAGTCTACCGCCGACATTGCAGGTATGTCGACAAGCCTTCCGTCGCCTTTTCCCTAGGTTCGTTGCCTAACCCTCTAGAAGGAAAGAAAGGCCCTGAACTGGTGGGCTTCGCCCGCATCGTGACGGATTACGCCACCATTGGGTATCTGGCGGACATCTACGTCCTCCCCACGCACCAAGGCAAGGGACTGGCGCCGTGGCTGATGCAGTGCTTGAACGAGATCTTGGACGAGTGGCCCGACTTGCGACGCTTTCTGCTTCTGACGTCCTCGCCGCAAGCGAGTAAGTTGTATGAGCAGGCCTTGGAGACAACGGAATGGGGCGTGTCACATTCAGGGAAGCTGTATCTGCTGGAGAAGCGCGGCCCTGCAATGCCCAACGGTCCGTCAGACGAGGAGGATGAGGATTGAGTGCGGACACCATGTTGGTATTGAAATGTTGTCGTAATCATCATGCCTTAATTGACGTCTTGCCGTATGCTCCGCCAGCGGCTTTTCTCAGCTCAATTGCGCGCTTGTACGGGGGTGCCGTCGGTGGCTGGACGGGATCCAAAGAAACGTGATCCTCGGGGAGTTGGTATGATGCGTCAGAGTCAAACGCCGACAGGTCACCACATGCGATGAAGGGTGCAATCCATCTAATGTGCTTATCATGATCCGTCGTCTCGTCCGTCTCGTCGTAGGCTTCCACCTCAACAACCTGACCATCTCCCCTCGTCGCAGACGCCGTGGGAGCAGAGTCCCATTTCCCAGTCAGAGGGTTCTGCATAAGCGCATCAGCCATGACAGGCAGCTGGCTCCTCCTCTCCTCGACCATCTTGGGCAGCTCGTGACCAACGCCAAGCGGGTTCTCAAGACTGGCCTGGAAACCAGTAGGGGGTTGGAAGTTGATGCAGACGATGAAGGCCTCCACACTGCTAGCACGAGAGGATCTCGGCTTCGCGACGATGACAGTCTCGAAGAAGATCTTGAGTTGCGCGTAGAGGAGATCGACATTGCGGCCGCGGAAGATCTTGGCGACGAACTTCCCACCGGGCTTCAGTACGCAAAGAGCGAGGTTGAGGGCGGCGAAGAGCAGCTGGGACTGGACGTAAATATCCAGGTCGTGGAGGCCCGTGACGTCCGGTGCACCGTCGCTGATGACGAGGTCGACGCGATGGCTGGCTTGCTGGCTCTTGGAGTTGGCGGCGTCATAGTCGGGATCCAAGGCCTTGAGGAGAAGGGGTACCGTGGCGGGGTGCGTGATGTCGGCACGCAGAGTAATGATGCCGGGGAGAGGGCTGATGGGTTGCAGATCGATAGACACGATCTTGACATCCTTGCGAGGTTGTATCTTTTCGGTAGCAGTCGCGATCTGGGTCTTCTGCCCTGCGACAGCAGATTCAGGGGTAGCCGGGAAGACGCCCAGCATCTCCTGACGGAACTTGGCCTCACGATCCTCCCATGCTGAACGACCGAACTTCTCTCCCTTGATGAGAACACGAGACAGCACCTGAGACCAACTACCAGGGGCGGCGCACAGGTCAACGACTCTTGTTACGTTGGCGAACAGGTCAAACTCTGGACCGTCGTTTAGCATTTATAGTCAAAATGTCACGGGATGGCGGGGTAGAATGAGTCACCTTCATCCAATTGCAGCAGCTTGAAGGCACTGCGTGCACGCCAGCCTTGCTCCTTTGCAAGACGGTAGTAAGCATCGCGCTTATCCTTGGAAGATTTGCCCATCTTGAAGTGATAGCGAGAGTCGGGAAGAGAACTATCGAGGGCTGATACGAGACGGAAATGGCGGGGGAGGGGAAAATTGCCAGCAATGTTTTTTTTTGGAGGGGTCAACGCCCGCTATGGCCGCCAAAGAAAATTTGCTGCAGCGCTGTTCTCGTAGGGCTGAATTAAGGTGCGGTCTGTGCATTGCCTGGCGCCTAGGAGCTGCCTCTTCCGGCTGAAGTATTTTCCGGGCCCGCCAAAAATTTCGAGCAGCGCAGCGGCGCCGGTGCTTAATTGCAGTGGACGATATGCGCATCGACTTTTTTTTTTTTGGGTTGATGTGAAGATTACTCGCGGGGCATTTTCCCACACCTTCCTTTTGCGCTCCTTGTATATACAATACCAGGACCCTCAATATGCAACACAAGAGGAAGCAACAGCCTTCTGGGGCTGCCCAGAATCCCCAGAAGCGCCAAAAGTCTGCTGGCGGAAAGGCCGCGGCCCCGAAGAAGCGCAAGGTCGCCGTCAGTGCGCTACCATGGAAGACGGTCGAGGTCCCCGAAATGTTCGACGATGCCGAGGGTTTCTACGGCTTGGAGGTTATCGAGGGCGTTGATGTCGTCAAACATGGGGATAACGTCGAGTTTGTATGTCTTCCAGCCTATGCTTCTCTTCCTCGCCCTCTCAAATGCAATGCATGACTGACTACAATCTAGATCGCTGCTGTTCCCTCTGGCGACGAGAAGGAGAACGACGAAGACGAGTTCGAAGGCTTCAGCGACTCTGAGCCTGCCCCTACACAAACCGACACAATAATGGAGGAGGCGGAGGCAGTACCAAAGGCAGAGACGAAGAAGACCAAGAAGGAGAAGAAGGCTGCCGCTAAGGCAGAACAAAAGGCACAACAAAAGGCACAACAAAAAGCACAAAAGGTGGAAAACACGAAGGGGGGCAAGCCTGCAGACAAAGCCGATGAGACAGACGCCGTTACACCTGCACTCGCAGCCGAACCCGAAGGCAAGAAGAAGAAGGAAAAGAAGCAGAAGAAAGCTCAGCCTAAGCCGGAGGACGCCAAGCTTGAAAGCAACGTTTTCAAGGCTCTCGAGGAAGCTGAAGAGGCCGAGGAGGATATCGACACGGCTCCCTGGGTGGACCTCGGTCTCTCCCCGGCGACTGTTGCGGCCATTGCCAAGCTCAAGTTCGCCAAGCCAACAAAGATCCAGAGCTCCTCGATACCCGAAATTCTCGCCGGTCACGACGTCATCGGCAAGGCCTCTACGGGTTCCGGTAAGACGCTTGCATTTTCGATTCCCATCGTGGAGGAATGGCTCGAGAAGTTTGAGGGAAAGGAGGACGAGAAGAAGCCGGATAATAAACCCTTTGCGCTCATTCTGTCGCCGACAAGAGAATTGGCACACCAAATCACCAACCACATCAAGAATCTTTGCGCCGGTCTGACCCACGCGCCCTTCGTTTGCTCGGTGACGGGAGGTCTGTCAGTCTTCAAACAGCAGAGACAACTAGCCAAGGCAGATATCGTTATTGGTACGCCAGGTCGTCTGTGGGAGGTCATCAGCTCCAGCACGGAGCTCCTGAAGGGGTTCCGGCAAATCAGGTACCTGGTTGTCGATGAGGCCGATAGGCTTCTGAGCGAGGGACACTTCAAGGAGGCGGGAGAGATCCTAGACGCCCTTGACCGTGAGGTTGTCGAAGAGGATGATGAGGATGAGAAGGAGCTCTCGGAGCGACAGACGCTGGTCTTCTCTGCGACGTTCCACCAGGGACTGCAGCAGAAGCTGGCTGGCAAGGGCAAATGGGGCCTCATGTCGGAGACGGAGAACATGGAGTATCTGCTGAAGAAGCTCAACTTCCGCGAGGAAAAGCCAAAGTTCATTGACGCCAACCCAGCCAAGCAGATGGCCGCCGGTCTCAAGGAGGGTCTCATCGAGTGCGGTGCCATGGAAAAGGTAAGAAAAAAGCGCTCGCCCAATCTATCATGATGATCTGATCTAACACGTTGCAGGATCTCTACCTCTACACAATCCTCCTGCTCAACCCGAACCGCCGCACTCTAGTCTTTACGAACTCCATCAGCGCCGTCCGTCGCCTGACCCCCATGCTCCAAAACCTCAACTTGAACGCCATGGGCCTCCACTCCCAAATGGCCCAAAAAGCCCGTCTCCGCTCCGTCGAAAAGTTCACGGCCACAAAAGCAAACACCACGTCCGTCCTCATCGCCACCGACGTCGCTGCCCGCGGTCTCGATATCCCCGGCATCGACCAGGTCGTCCACTACCACGTTCCCCGCGCCGCCGACATGTATGTCCACCGCTCCGGTCGTACCGCGCGTGCCGAGAAGACGGGTCTGAGTATCATCCTCTGCGGGCCGGAAGAGGTCGTGCCGACGCGCAGACTCGCGGCCAAGGTCCACGAGAAGCACTCGAGCAAGAAGAAGTACTTTATGCGCACCATCGATATAGATCGCCGCATCGCTTCCCGCCTCAAGCCGAGACTCGACCTGGCGAAGAAGCTCACTGACGCGACGCTCGCCAAGGAGAAGGGCAACAAGGACGAGGACTGGGTCAAGGCTGCTGCCGAGGAGCTAGGTGTAGAGTACGACAGCGACGAGCTGGAGAAGGCAGGGACGTGGACGGGTCGTGGAAGTCAGCGGAAGAAGAAGCAACAAGAGGACAAGAACATTAGCAAGGCGGAGATGGGAGCCATGAGGGCACAGCTGCGCGAGTTGTTGTCGAAGCGCGTCAATGCCGGCGTCAGTGAAAAGTACATCACGTCGGGTAATCTCGACATCGAGGAGTTGTTACGAGGCGGCACGGGAGATTTCCTGGGCAAGGTTGACGGCTTGGACTTGGAAGATCTGTAGGATGGTAGCCTCACGCATTCACAAAAAGACAATACCATTTGATTTCAATCGTGCAATCAAAACTTTTCATTCCTGGTACTCTTGAGCTACCCGTTCGGCTCGATACCACGACCAATTATTATATCCATAGCGGATTCCGTAACCATAACCGTAACCGTAACTGTAGACCATGTCCTTGATCGTGACCATCCTAGTATAAACGAAACCGAACCGAAACCACGACCATATCCGTATCCGTGAACTGGGCTCGCCGGCCCTCGTCACAGAAGTATAATACAACAAGAAAAGATTTGTTCGCACTGAACAATAAAAAACCGAAGCTCGTGGCCTCGCTCACTCCTCCATCACCGACGAAGGACCCGCCTCACTCTTCGGAAGCTGTTCAGACCTTCTCCTATTCGGAAGTGACTTCATCGGTCGCATCGTCTTCGCGCCTGAGCTTGACTGCGCGCGTTCAGGCTTCTTGTCCGGAGTTGAGGTGAGTGAGAGAAGGTGTTTGCCTTCTTCGATCTGCTGCAAGACCGTAGAAACACTTCCGGTCTGCAGGGCAGTGAGTCTGGGGCCGGACTTGGGGTTTTGAATCTGGTCCTCGAGATCTTTGACTCTCGAGGCCAAGAGTGTGAGGTCCTCGCGTCCCTTCTTCGTCTTGTCACGTAAGGTAAGCCTGCCCGTACAGCTCATGGAGTATTGAGACTCCAGCTTCGCAATCTTCTCGTCCTTCTTCGCAAGCTCGGCCTCCTTCTTCAAAAGTTCGTCCTCGTGGGTCTTCTTGATCAGGTCCAAGATTCCGTCTTTGTTGGACAACTCTTGAGTCTTGTTTCTTTTAGCCATGTTGGCCTTGAGGAGCTCTTCGTTGGCAAACTTCCTCATCCTCGCCGCCAGGTTGGTGTTTTCATTGAGAAGGCGTTGCACCTCCACGTTCAGCCGTTCGGTTTCGGCGCAAAAATCATCATTGGCCACCTTCAGGTTGCCAATGGTGTGAATTGAAGCTCTCTCGGCCTCCAGTGATTTCCGAAGCTTCTCTTGCTCCTCTGCGAGCTCCTCAATGTATCCCTCGATCTCTTCCTCCGCCTTCTCCTTCTCCTCGCGGACAGTGCGCAGGTCGATCTCCAACTTGGTGACTTGCACCGCCTTTACTTGCAAAATCTCCACTGCTTTTTGCTCTACCAGCTGGGCCTTTTGAATCGCAACGTCTCTCTCTTGCTGTAATGGAGCAATCTGGGTGGCCTGGTCCATCAATCGCTCCACTTGCTGCTGTAGGGTATCCCTTTCAACCCGTGTCTGCTCTGTCTCTTGTTGCAACATAGCAATCTGAGGGCTCAGGGCAACCATTTGCTCCATCTGCTGCTTGTAGCCATCTTTCTCGTCGCGCAGTTGCTCTGCTTCGCTTCGCAGGTCAGCCACCACTCTCTCAGCTTCCGCTTTGAAGCCTGCGGCTTCTTGGATCTGGGCGCCTTGCGACTCAATGGTTGCCTTGGCTTCGGCCTTGACATTGGCTAAGTCTGTCTGGAGCGCGAGAATATCTGCCGACGCTGATGCTTCGATATGTTGCTGAGTGACTTGCCACTCCGTGGCAGTAGTTGCTTGAGCTTGGGCCTTGGCCAATTCCCCGCGAAGCTCGACAATAACCTTCAATAAGTTGTGCTCCGTGTTCTGGCTATCAGCCTTGAGATCGTTCATCTGGGTCTTGCTGATGAAACGCCCGAACGTGGCCGAGGTCGCCAGTGCCTGATTTACCGAAAGCCTGGCTTGGGTTATGGCGAGCTGTTCCTCGAGGTGCTGTTGGGTTGGCTTGGGAGCAGTCTCTACCGCTTCAGATTGGATTCCTGTTGCCAACAGCTCTACCCGAGGGGAAGTGTCTTTCTGACGCTGTAGTGCCTTGATGTCAGTACGTAGCACGCCAATCTGGTCTTCCTTGCGCCGGGCATATTCTTGGAACTTCTCCTTCTGAGTGTCGATCTTTTTCTGGAGGTACTTCGCTTGCGAATTGGATGCCTCCCGACAGACATCGGCGTCGTGGGTCTGCGCTTTCTGGTACTCCAGCTCTGCCTCGAGTCTTGCGATGGTTGCTCCATCTGTCTCGTGTGCAAGGAGTCTCGCGTTTGCTTTCCGGAAACTGTGTTCGGCATGTTGAGCACGGGCTTGCTGCACATTGATAGCGTGCTGAAGCTCCAACACCTTCGCATCCATCTCGCTGACTTCCGATGCGTAGGAGTTGGACTGCCTCAAGGTCTTCGTCAGACGTTCCTCGGCATTGTCACACACCTCTCGTTGGCGGTAGCATCTTTCGAGGTCTTCTTGCGCGGGCGTAGGAACTGGTTGCTCAGTTGTTTGCTCCGGGAGCTGTCGGGGGGCAACTTGCTGCACGTCGGTATGCGAAGCCGGCTGGCGAGATGCAGAAGCTCGGCGAAGCGCATCACACAGACTCATGACAGCAGTTTTGAGACCCCAGATAGCCTCCAATATGACCGCGCCCACGCTGGATAAGACGCTAAGGGCGTGGTCTCCCGTCAGAGGATGAATAGAAGCCAGGATGAAGATGACGAAGATAAGACATCCGATGCTTTTGGGGTCGAGCAGGCCGTTCTCGCGAAAGAGCTGGTAGATCAGACTGCCCAGATAGCTGAGAGCCATCAAAATGGCAATTATGCCGGCAAAAGCGAGAGCGACGCTGAACGGGTCGATCATGATGTCGGTTCGGCGTTCGTTAGAGGGATGACACCGGTGGCGGATGAGACGAACCTCGGCGAGCGATGAATAGATGGATGAGAGAGGGATATGAGGCCTGGGGTGTATAAGGAAAAAATGCAATCTTCTGATGAAAAGTGATTGTCTGAAGAAGGATCTCGTGGGCAAGCAGATGGAGGTTCTTGCGATAGTTGATTTCTTCGGCGTGAAGTTGAGAAGATGGCTCACGTAGGGGTTGAAGAAAAGAGAAAATTGGAGGGATGGACGAGTGAGATGAGGGTGTGAGTGAGAATCGAAGATGAAAATTCAGAGGGATGTAAAGATGAGGAAGGCGCTGTTGGGAAAAGCTGATCTTGAGGGAAGGTGCGTCGGGAGAAAGGCGCAAAGGTGAGGCAGGTGCGAACTGACAAAGCGACAGAATTTTTGCAGTGGGTAGGGCTTCTATGAGGTCCTCTTCAACTTTTACTCAATTGTCTAAGGTGAGAAGTCGATCTCTTGGGTTTCATAGGCTTCTTTATCGAGGGCAGCTGTCTTGTCCTGCATCTTCTCACCTCTCCATACAATGAGTTGGGCATACAAAGAGGATGAGCTGAAAGAGAAACGAGCTCACTCATTTCAAACCGAATTCCTTTGACACGAGCTGCTGTGTTTCAAAGCGGCCATCTTCTTTTGGCCTAAATTGATCAGAGGTAAAGATTTTCTAGGTCGAGGACGACATTGATCGCGAAACCAACGCGATGTCATACAGTCTAGAGTTCGTTGGCTCAGAACTTCCATCTCAAAGGTGTTAAAATGTATGGCTTAGCACATAAACCCGATTCTCTGATTCTCGATGTGAAAGATTCTCAAGATCGGTACATGTTGTGTGTGGTCGACCTTAGCTATTGTGGAACTCCGATCTCATGATGTTGGAAGTCACCTTGGCCTCACCGAGGTCCCTAATTTCAAATGCAAAGCGTCTATCTCCACGCTTCGCCAGGCTCGACAAGCATCAGGGTATTCCGGAATCATAAATAGGAATAATACATGGTGTCAAGTTTTCTGTCAGGCACCATATAGCGGCATGCAATTCTGGCTTTTGATTCCCACCGGAAGGCCAATAATGGAAGCATTCGGTGAGCCGGTGACGGGTGACGAGTGACGACAAGGCCCCAAAGCCACAAGGCAGCATCGATTCTGGTAGTATCGATTCTGGTAGCATCGATTTGGCAGCATTCTCCAAATTCAGTGGCATCAGCGAGGTTAGAGAATATCATCCGCAGGTTTGCTCACACGATTGTTTCAAATCTCTCCCCAATCATTGTCGGCTCATCAGGCGCCCACGGGCATACGATTGCATGTTGACTACGAGTAGTTTATTTGATCGCCATATCCAATCAATCTCTATTCAAATCATTCATATCTGGTATCAAGTGGCGCTAACTCATAATTATTATAGTGTAAACCTTCGTCCGAGTCCAGCCTGGGTGTCCATCAACTGTTGGTTTCATGATCTCATCTATGACCCTCCTTGAGCGAGTCGAGCTCAATTGAGCTTTCGCCTTCACTCAGTCCTGTTAATCTTTCATGCCGCACTCTCACTTCTTCGGTCTTGATGATGCCGTTCATGCCCGGGAGCGGCGATGCCTGGCCGCCCTCCGCCTCTTGGAGGGCTTCCTGCGATTCTTGCCATCCTCCGGTGGACATGACAACAACAGAATTCCGGCCGTATTGTGACCCCGGGCCATATCTCTTCGTTGATCTGACCTCCTTCCTCGTTCCTGTGTCAAGTGCATGCGATTGTGACTTGTTTCGTGCATAACTTCGTTGAGTTGACTTGAGCTCTCGGTACAACATTCTCCTACACGGTGTCAGAGGTGAAGAACCAATACGCTTGATGAGGGGGGAGACCACATACAAGACCGGGATAGACACTGCCATGATCGAGGCGGCAGGTTCTGTCAAAGTCCAGATCGTAAGGTCAACGCGCTCGTAGGTGATGTCTGGACTCGTCATGTTGACCACCAGGACAGCTTTCACGATGCCGCATATTCCGGCACTGTCGTCGATGTTAGTTCACCGCAAAAGTGGCCAGGGTGGAATCCGAAAGTCTTACATAGCACCCAAGCTCATTGCTACGGCGACACCAAGCCTTTCGCGACGCCGCATCGTTGCGCCCATGAGAATTGGCCACGGCAGGAATGCCAAAACGAAATCGAGAATGGCGGAGTAATCTGCAAGCAAGTGAGCATGCAAGCCTCATGAGAACACCGTTTCGCGGCAGTCTTACAGGCAGCAAACAACTGGAATTTGACGAGCTTCTTCTTATCCCAGCAACTTCCCGGCACGCTGCTGTCCCATACTCGTTGCAACGGTGTGCATTTGGCGAAGCCAAACATCCATACCAAGTTCATCGAGATGTTGATGGAAACGATGATGAAGATGAGAAAGTATTTCAACCATTGGTTCGTGACGATGCGGTACAGCGTCAGGGCGAACGAGCTTTTGCTAGTCGTCGTTGCGATGATTCCGAACGTGGCGACGAGGATCGTGTTGAGGTTTATGAGCTTGAGGTTATCGCTACTGATCGTATCGATATGGCGTCCAAATCCGAGAGAGACGATGTAGGAGTTTATCGAGATGGATATCACCAGTGACACCTGCAACTATGAGCTAGGGGGGTAGGACAATGACGGCTATTCTTCACATACCATTGACGCAATCAAGAGATGGTCATCCCACCATAAACCACGTCCACGCCATAGCTTACAATAGATACGCAATGAAAGCAGCGTAGCGCTAGCGACACAGAGAGACCATGTTACGGCGAGGAGTCTGGTGCCTCTATCGTCGACCATCGTCAACCTCACGGCAGGCGCACAGTGCCACGAGATATGATAGAAGACGTCGTAAGAAACAAGGACGGGAGTCAATCAGTGGATCCCCGGGAATTCTGCTCAAAAGCGGTCGAGGTCAGCGCACACGCGGGAAGTGCATCACTCCCTCATATTATACATTGGCATCGCACATGATGAAATCTAAGATCAGCGTCCTTAACAAGGGGGCCCCCAGGTACCAGAAAGCCTCCTACCCTCCATGAACAGTCCTTAGTTTCGGGGAGTGCAACCGACTTTTCACGCTATGTGCCCCCCCTCGAAACCGGCGAGAGTATTGCCTGTGTCGGTGATAGGATTCTCCCCCTCAAAGGGAGAAGCAGGGAGGGAGGCGGAGTTCGGACGAAGTCCCGCCACCTGCCCCAAGGAACACCTCGTCACGGGCAGGCGAAAGACAGATCAGGCTTCGACCGGTGCACGACATATATCACGGCGGGCGGAAGCGGGAGATTTGGGTTCGTGGAAAAGTCGAGGCCGGCCGCCAACACGGCGGTGCTGGGACCAACGTGTGATTTCTGCTACTACGGGCACTTACTTCAAACGGAACTGTTGGATCGCTGGGCCAAGTTTGTTTTGCGTCTGTAAATCCACCGGGAGGTACGGATGCAAGGGAACTAGCAGCCTCACAAGAGTCAACGGCTCACCACTGACGCTGTGGCTGTTTTTGGTTGCAACTACACTTGTCTTGGAATGATCTGATGGGAACACGAAGTTGGTTACTTAAACAGTAAGGTAGGACTGGGACGTTCCCATGGGCTTTTGGCTCGGGGTCCATCTCAATCGGAGATCCAGCGCCATGCTCCAACAGCGTCTCCGCATACGGACCACGTTCTCCTCTATGTACAGACGCATAAAGGGTCCACTGGCATCACGCAACTGTAATCAATGAGAATGTTAAGGTGTGTGTGGTCTCGTTAACGGATTCTGCTACCAAAGTTCCTTTAGCCCTGCCAGGCCGGCCCAACTATGCCGGGGCAGCTGAGGAATGTGGGAATGTGCCCACTCCTCAACTCAAGATGGCTGGGGTACCGGTCTCTAGTGCCGAACTCTAATCCTGGGGCTTGAGCGGAGAGATCCCATTCGTGCGCCAGCGATTTTCCCCAGGATCATAGCCGATGGTCAATATTACATATCTCGTTTAAACAGTACCCATATGGAGTTTTCGGGGCTCTAGAAGACACTAAAAGAGTCTACTCACCAACACGAATATTGGCTGCGCCGTTACTGCGCAGTAGCGTGGTCTCACCATCGATTCTGCTAACCACAACGAGGTATGCTTCTCCGATGTTCTGCCAGGTCTTTGGGGGCAGCGGCAACACGGACGGTTACCAACTACGGCTCCAATCTGCGGGGGATGCTGGGCATCAGGCCACAACCCGTCGAACCCGTGATGGATGAATTCCTCGGCCGAGAGATCGATGGGGAAGCTTCGCCATGCTCTCGCCATGCGACACAAGGATGAACTTACGTAGTAGCATCTGATCGAGCCCCCTGAGCCGAAGCACGCAAATCGTGTTGGAGGGCTGCCAAGTGCCATCCGCAGGGGCAATGAGACGGTACGGACTTCTTGTATGTGTCATCGTAATCTAAGGTATGGACTAAGTCTGCTAGGGGTGATCGGCAGAGCCTTGGAAGAGCCGGTGATTATTTTCCAAAACGGCTCTTAGTCTAGAGTCGTCGTAACCCAATATTCCGGGCAGTGCAGGGACTAAGAGGCCGTCTTTACGGAAATTTCTTTTCACGCCAGCGGACGTTGAGGCAATTTCTAGACGATATGTCATGATTGGTTCCCGAGTAGCGTCGACGGGCTTGATCAAAATCTCCCTACCTGAACCTCTGTGCGACTGACATGAGACACACGCAGGTGTTAGCCTCCCTTTCCTTCTACACCGCATTCTAGAAGCTGCACTTCTTCGCCCGTTGAGCCTTGCCCACCATGCGTTCCCACGCGTTTAGAGTTCTTCTGGCGTTTTCGTCGTGCTTGGGCGTGTCCGAGTCCTCCTCGCCCGCCTATTGGGGTCCTCGTCCCAAGCCCACGCCGCCTGGACCTCCTGCGGTGCACCTCTCAGACGGGACCTACGTCGGAGTGCGGAACCAGCAGTATGCGCAGGACCTCTTCCTTGGTAT